TCTCTCTGTAAACTGCATCCCTCTCACATCCTGTCTTTCCACTAATTCTTGTTATAGGGAGAGGGAGAGAGAGGAGGAGAGAGAGGGAGAGAAAGGGAGAGAGAGAGAGAGGGGGAGAGAGAGGACAGAGACAAAGGAAAAGGGACAGAGGGAGAGTGAGAGAGGAGAGACAGAAGGAAGAGGAGAGGGAGAGGGCAAGGAGAGAGAAGAAAGACAAAGGGAATGGAACAGAGGGAAAGTGAGAGGGGAGAGAGAGAGAGGGAAAGAGAGAGAAAACGAGAGGAAGACAAAAGAGCGGGGAGCATCCTAGTGAAACTTTTCAAGGTGGCTCTTGGGCTCTGTTTTATGTGTCAAAAATATTTCACACAATTCTGATCAATTTTAAGGCTGCGTTTTATTACCAAGTGTTTAAGAGTAGTGAGGTGGACTGTGTGTACAGTGTAACCCATCCAGTGCAAGGCTGCTCTGATACACTTCACCGAGGTTGTTCCCTGTTTGAACACAGTGCCAACCCGTGGGTGGGAGGTTGGTGGGGGGTGGTGTGTGTGTGTGTATGTATGTGTGTGTGTGTGTGTGTGTGTGTGTGTGTGTGGGGCGGGGTGGGGTGGGGATCCTGGTCGGTGAAGACAGACAACGATGTGGGAGGGAGGGAGGGGCAGTAGACAGAGAGAGAAAGTGTCCCCACTGAATGGAGGGAACCGGAGGGACACAGAGTGAGGGTGGGTTGTAGAAAGGAGAGATTGCAGGAATATGTTCTGTCACCATCCCCATGTCCTGAGAGGGTGAGGGGGAGCCACATGGCATTAACATGGAAGTTAGTTATAGAATTTTTACAGCACACACAGAGAGAGAAAGACAGGCCCTTCAGCACATCGCGTCCATGATGGTCATCAAGTCTAATCCGACCTTAAACTGGAGAATGATCAGCGGAGAAGGAATCTACAAAGCCATGGAGGAACAAACAGGGGGTTTTGCAGTCTAACTCAGTTACTTCTGCTGTGGGTCAACAGGAACTTAATGGTCTGCATCCAGCCTCCTTTCTCACCAGCAACCCCGCCTCCACCTCCCCCCGCCCCACAACAACCACCACCCTCCACCCCAACCCAGCCCACCCCAACTTGCCTCGGCTGAGGCGGATGTGGAGGTGAGAGGGCAGGGGCTGGCACAGACTCAGTGAGTGCCAGCCATAGCTCGACACAGCGCAGAAACTGTGAGAGCTGCAACAGAGCAGACGGACTCAACTACAGAGTCCCTTAACAGCTCGACAGAGGAGAAAAGACTGCATGGGTGTTAGCCCGGGGTGCAATGGGCTTGGGGAGAGAGCTTCGAGCCTCATTGGGAGTCACTGGGCTCAGTCTGAGGGGGGAGAGCAGAGTCCCCAGAGGGAATTGAAGGGCTTAACCCACAAGGACTGAGGGACCTAGGGGTTCAGGTACATAATTATTTGAAGCCTGCGTCACTGCGTCACAGGGGGATTAAGAAGGTGTTTAGTACGCTTTCTTTCATTGCTCAGAGATTTGAGTATAGGAGTTGGGACGTCACATTGAGGTTGTACAGGGACGTTGGTGAGGCTCCTTCTGGAGCAACTGTGTCCCAGTTCTGGTCGCCCTGTTATTGGATATTAAGTTGGAGAGGGTTCAGAAGAGATTTACCAGGATGTTGCCGGGTATGGAAGGTTTGAGTGATAAAGAAAGGCTGGGACTTTTTGCATGGAGCATAGGAAATTGAGAGGCGACTTTATAGAAGTCTATAAAATCATGAGGTGTATGGCTATTGGTTTATGGTGGGTGTCTTTTCCCTAGGACATGGGATTTCAAGACCAGGGTGCACATTTTTAAGGTGGGAGGAGAAAGATTTTAAAAAAAGAAATGAGGGGCAATTTTTTCACACAGAGGGTGGTTCGCGTGTGGAATGAACTTCCTGAGGAAGTGGTGGGTGTGGGTACAGTTACAACGTTTAAAAGACATTTGGGTCAGTACAGGAATAGGAAATGTTTGAAGGGATAAGGGACAGGAGCAGGCAGGTGGGACTAGTTTAGTTTGGGGTAATGGTCGGCATGGACTGGATGGGCCGAAGGGTCTGTTACCATCGTGCTGTACGACTCTATGACTCAGGCTCGAGTTTAAGAGTTGGGAGGGGACTGAACTGAGATGGCAGCATTCTGTGAAGAGATTCTACAAGATCAGAGAGAGAGAAAGAGAGAAGTTCAGGGAGGCAGGAGGTCAGAGGAAAGACAAAGTAACCTGAAGCGAAGCTGGGAGGATCCAAGTGATGGGCCAGTAATTTGCTGGCTTAGATTTGCCGAGCCTTTTTGTGAACAGGACCCAACTGGGCAATTTCCCACATGGTACAGTACAAATCAACAATGATCTCATAAACAGCAGAATGGATTAGAGAGGCTGAATGGCCCTGTTCTGTTCCTTTTAGCCAACCCTCCAAATGTCTCTCTCCCTAGATCCCAGTCTCTCTCCTCTAGTCCACTCTCTCTCCCCCAGTCCAGTCTCCCCCCCCTATCCCAGTCTCTCTCCCCCAAGCCAGTCTCTCTTCCCCAATCCAGTCTCTCTCCCCCAATCCAGTCTCTCCCCCCATCCTAGTCTTTCTCCCCATTCCAAGTCTCTCTCCCATAATCCAGTCTCTCTGCACAGATCCCAGTTTCTCTCCCCCACCCCAGTCTCTCTCCTGCAATCCAGTCTCTCTCCGAAGATCCCAGTCTCTCCCCACAGATCCCAGCTTCTCTCCCCCAGTCCAGTCTCTCTCCCCCAATCCAGTCTCTCTCTCACTTCCCACATCCCAGTCTTCATCCCCTGACCCAGTCTCTCTCTCTCTAACTCTCTGTCTCTCTCTCCCCCACCACTCCCGTCTCTCCATGGCCCCACCCCTCTCTCTCCATCCCTGTCCCTGTCAAACCTCTCTGCCCTATCAGAGGTGACAGTTCTCATTGACAGGGTGGGGCTGGAGTTATTGAGGCTACAAGATGATGCAGATATGAATGCTTGACTAACATTGTCAGCATCCTCCAGCTTCCCCAGAGACCCCGTCCCCAGTCTCCCCCTTCACCTCCAGGCTCTCCTAGTAACTCAAAGATGCAATTCTCAAACAAAGTGTCTTCAAGTTCAAACTGACCCATTTCTCCACACCACCAGAGTTCAGGAAAAACCCCGAACAAGATACAATCTCCTTCTCTGCCTGTCTCTGCTTCTCACTCTTTCTCCCCCTCTCTCTCTCTCCATTTCTTATCAAATCACTGTTATCCTTTCCTTCATGTCACTCTCTCCTTCTCACACTCTCTCTTTATCTCTGCCCCTATCTTCTCTATCTCCCTCACTTCCATCTCGGTTTCACCCTCTGCCTCTGTCTTCTTGCCCTGGGATTTAGCTCTGGCTCTCTCATGTTTTGCATCTCTCTGTCAGTCTCTTGCTTTCTCTCTCTGTCTCTCCGTCTCCGTCTCTCCCTCTGTCCCACTCACTTGCTGCCTCTAGCTCTCTCTCTCTCTCTCTCGCCATCTCCCTTTCTCTCATTCTTTCTGTCTCTCTCTCTCTCCATCTCCAAGTCCCTCTCATCCTTTGTCTTTTGCACTCTCCTTCTTTCTCTTTCTCTCTGGCTCACTATCTCTTCATCTGCCTAATTTGTTTTCTCTCCCAATGTTTCTGTTTGTCTCAACTCCCTGACTCTTCCTCTTTAGGTCTCACTTCGCCTCCTTCTGTCTCAGACTCTCTCTGTCTCTCACTCTCGCTGTCTCTCTCTCTCTCTTTCCCTCTCTCTGCCTCTCGCTCTGCCTTTCTGTCTCTGTCTCTTGCTCTGCTTCTGTCTCTTGCTCTCTCTCTCTTTCTGCCTCTCGATCTATCTCGCACTACCTCCTACGCTCCCAGGTTGTCCTAGCTGTTGGGGTAATGGACAAATCGATGAGCTGTAGATGCAGGTCCTGAGTGAGGAGCCGAGCTGGTCTGAGAATGAGCTGACTTACCAGAGCTCTCAGTGTCTGATCGTGGGATGCCACTGGATTTCCTACAGCTCCTGATGCCTCTGAGTCAGCCTGCTCTTTACTGAGTTTAGGTGGAGCAAATTTTTACCAAGTTCTCTGAATCAGCTCATTTCCTGTTTCTCTCAATCTCTCGACAGGAAGTGGATGAATTGACGATCTTTATCTCGATGATATTTCATCACCTCATAACTGAGAGCCAAAAGAGCAGGATGAGGCCATTCTGCCCCTCGAGATTGAGGCACCAGTCAATAAGATCGTGGCTGGTCTTTCGATATCGTCACCCCCACTTTCCCGTCTGCCCCTCCATTCCCTCGTCAATCTCTCAGAAACCTCCCTGACTTAGCCAGCCCATTCCCCCCACCCACCACCCACCACCGACCCCTGTCACACCTGTACAGAGAGAGATAAGCATCAAACAGAAAGGCAAAACAATAGAGTGACACCAATAAGGAACTCCCCTCTCAGCAGGAATCCATCGCCTGCTGACAGGTTAGGAGTTAAATACCAACAGCATCTGCCTAGTCTGTGTGCGTGTTAGTGGCCTGATGTGCTAGCACATTGGTTCGTGTTGTCGCAGTCACAGTTTGAAAACTCCTGTGCTGCAGGTAATGAAAGGGAAAAAGACTCTCTCTCACTCTCAGTGCTGCCAGCTAGCCACTCTCCAGAAGAACCAGGACAAAAAAAAATTCAGTCAGCTAGAAAGTTAAAAATCTCACAGTCGATTGCCCAGTGGCTAAAGTCAACACCTATTGGCACTGTGCCATATAACAGCCCTGGCTACCCTCCAGCAATAGCTCACAAACTGATCTGTATTTTTGGGGCAGGTGTTAAACATTTGAAGTCCCCTCTTGCTCTCAATGTGTGTGTGTGTATGTGTGCGGCATCGATGTTTGTTTTTGAGTTTAGTAACTGCTAAGCTCACTCGTTTGCTCATTCAAGACAGTCTGATTAAATTGGTGACTTATAAACTACGGGTCTGGGAGAAACGTGCCTGTAAAGGAAATGGATTTATTTTTTATTCACTTATGGGAAGTGGGTGTCATTGACTGGACCTAGCTCCTTCACTCCTGTTCCTAATTGCCCCCTTGGAGAAGGTGGGGCTAAGCTGCCTTCTTAAACTGCTGCAGCTCCCCACCCCCCTCCCCATTTGGTGTAGGGACACGCCACACGGTCCCCTTAGGGAGGGAATTCCAGGATTTTGACCCAGGGACAGTGAAGGAACGGCGATATTTTTCCAAGTTGGGATGGGGAGTGGTTTGGAGGGAACTTTCAGGGGGCTGGTGTTCCCGTGTATCTGCTGCCCCTTGTCCTTCTGGATGGAAGTGGTCATGGGTTTGGAAGATGCTGCCTGAGGATCTTTGGTGAATTTCTGCAGGGCATCTTGTAGATGGTACACACTGCTGCTACCGAGCATCGGGGGTGGGGGGAGTGGATGCTTGTGAATGTGGTGCCAATCGAGCTGGGTACTGTATGGTGTCGAGCTTCTCGAGTGTTAGGCAGTGTAGTTCTCCCTCTGGGACTAATGTGTGGTTTTGAACACCAGAAACAAGAACTGGCTCGAGCTTCAAGGGTGTTGAAAGGGAGACATTTCACTGAATCTGGATAAAAACTGAAATAACTGCA